TTTTTAAAAGTATGTATCATTTAAATTAGTAGTTAAAATTAGGCAAGTAGAAAAAAATAAATCATGTTGACATATAAAAATGATGTAAAATGATGGCCAAAAAGAGCACTTCTAAAAATTGCTTAACTTAGAAGATGGGAAAGCAACAACAACCAGGAAGGGAAATGGGAAGAATGGTAAGAAAGAAACGTAGCCAAGTTGAAAGCAAAGTCCTGTGAGAGAAGCCAAACGAAGAGGAAAATTCAATTAGGAGGAGTTCAATAGGGAGAACTGTTCCCTCAAAATGAAGTAACAGTAAGACAGAGAGATTATTGCTTTTGGCAAGTGAAGGTCATAAGTGATCTTTGAGTGTAGTTTTAACAAAAGATGGGCATAAGAGGAGATCTCTCTAGTCATTTCTATATATATTTAGAAGCTCAAGTTGACTCAAACACCATTAACAAGTTATTAGTCCAAAATATTGGCCATGGTCATGGCCATATTTACAGTCCTGTCCCTAAATTAATGGCACCTCCTTCTCTGCCCACAAATTTATAAAATGTTATAAGTAGCAGGGACCTTAGAAATCACTAAGTAAGAGATTGCAAATGGGTAGCTAACGAGCCAAATTCAGCTATGTTTCTAACTTTTATTTTCCACTTAAAAAATATCTTAGATTCCAACTTCTTTATAAAATACAAAAGATCTGGTAATACTGGTCCCATATTTATGATGCACCTTTTGCAAGAAGCATATGAATTTCATTGCCCTATGGCCACCTCAGTGTCCTAAAGACACCTCACTTCACTCATTTCTGGTAACTGCCTGGTCCCCTGTAGCTGCAAAGTATCTAAGTTAGAAACTCCCAAACTTGACATTTAAATAGGAAACATTAAATCATTAACCATTCACCACCTACTCAAGGTTAAGACCCAGACAGGTTAAGGTCTCAAAGTCAGTTAGTAGCAAAGCCAGAAGTAGAACTCTGTTCCCTGACCCCAGCTTACTAAGTGAACTGCAGCCTATGCTCAAGACAGTCGATTTCTCCAAACAGATGCTGATTAAATCATCCTTAAAGGAAAGGGAAATAATCTGTATATAAACATAAATTTATTAAAAAGACAGTTCTCATGCATTAACAGAAATATTCTCTAAACAGACCGCTCACACACACACACACACACACACACACAAATCCTTACATTTCAAACTTGAGGAAAAAGCTTTAAGAAAATTATCTACAAATTTACTTCATGTGCACTTTACTTGTTTGACACTTAAATCCTTTTTGACAAGACAGCGGCTTTCTTTTGATTCAGTCTCCCTGCCTTCAGGCTCTTCTCATTCAAATCCAAAAATATCTAGAAAAAATAAAGCTGCCAACTGAGTAACGCAACTTCAAAAGATCACATGACACCCTTGCTTTAAAACTTCTGTGTTTCCCCAATGCCTATGGGACAGCCTACAAAATCCTCCAGCCCTTTCAGATCTGCCAGTGTGCGCCTTCACAGCCTCATCTTCCCCTACTTCCCACTTTTCTCCACCCATATCAGGACTTTGAAGATTCAAATACTATTCCCTCTTATCTGGAGAACTGTTCTAACCAACTTTTACACATTTTGTATTTGATGATTTGGCAGCCATTAATCACAGGACCAAACTAACAGCCAACGTTGTTTACATCTCCCTCCACAATCCAGCTTTCACAGGCACACTGCAACCATGTAACAAGCCCTCCAACCACAAACCCCAATACCTGTTTTGCTTTCAGCCCAACAAGGGACATCCCCACCTAATAATTTCCCACCACTGTAGTAATAAAGCTTTTTGCCCATGCTTTCCCCTCACCCCTCCTGCCTCCTGACAACCCAGATGATTCCCCATGTGGCCCTGAGTGGTGTGGCATGTCTGTTCTCTTGGAAACTGTAAGTACAGTCACCTCTCAGTATCTGCAGGGGATTGGTTCCAGGAGCCCCCCCCCCCCCCCCAGTTACCAAAATCAAGTCCCACATACACGATGCAAAGTAGATTGAATCCATGGATGCGGAATCATGGATAGAGAGGGTGGACTACAATAAATTCTTCTTTCAAAGGCAGCTATCTCCATGTCTGTCACTGTACCATACTTGATCAAATAAATCCCAGGTATATTTTTAATTCAAGCCCTCCCTCCCCCCTTTTTTTCTTAGAAAATGCCTACAAATCCTTTGCAAAGGAGATTAAATGGTTTAAATATAACCTCCTTGGTAAAACCCAAGGCAGTTTGTTGCTCAGCCCTTGAGGTGCATACTGTATTGCTCCTAACACAGTTAGGGCAGCCTTGGCTCAGTCTTGTCATTTTTCTGTTTTCATGTTCTTTTATACCCACTGGACTTTGAGAATCTGACTGAAAAGACTCAAATCTTACCTAGTACAATCCTTTACACATATTAGGGATTCAAAGATGGTAAGAATGAATAAACTTAGAAAAAAATCGGGAAAAGCAAAGAAATTTTAAAGCTGGCCAATGTCATCTCAAACCTGTTGAAAGGTGTTTCATTTTCACTCACATCAAGTCTTCTGTTTTACTGCTCTACAAGTGTGTCCTACGGTCTTGCCCCCACGACACTGAGACAAGCGCGGCAGAGTGACAATGAAAGAAAGGCGGCAAAGCTCATCACATCTCCTGAGAATGTGGGCCAGTTCTGATCCACTCTTGGCGGATAAGCAATAGCAGAACTGTACTTAACAGAATCTAGAGATTTTTCTTTCATTCCTATCAATCTTTTCAGGGCTTCCCTCCCCACTTGAGTTTTAATTTTGTCAGTGTGTGTGGTAGTAGTTGTGTATCGATTGTTGTTCATTTCCTGGGTATGTGTATGCTTCTTTTGCCATTTCCACTGGATTTTACATAGAATATGTCTGATGTCTACCTGGAGCCTGGCATCCACAACAGCTAGGTTTGGCTACCAAATATAATTTGCATGGCCTCAAGGCACACAATGAAATTGATGTTGAAAACAATTTAATCTAATGCATCAAGGCTGAAGCCACTATGAATTGCAACATTTTAGGGTCATAATGAACTAAAATCAATAGAAATATGAACACAAAAGGGAATGACTTTTCCTTTTTCACTTAGTCCTTTTGGTTCATGTGCTAAATCTTTAGGCCCACCTACTTGAAGGATGCTCCCAAACGAAGGGTCACCTTTAAAATATATAAGACCCTGCAAGTATTTCTGAATAACAATGTGTGAATTAGGGAAGAAAAAGAGCCTTTGATAACATTTTACTAACTACATTCACAACTCTCCATTTTTACTAACAAAATGATTAGCAGCTAATTATCTAGGCGATTAACTGATTGCCTTTTTTAGGGATTAAAATATGTATGTTAATTGTACCTAAAAATGAAGGTAATTTAAGAACTGTAAAGAATACTACTTTTAACATTTTGTACATAAGTGTTGTGGAAAAATATACCGTGATTAAAAGAAAACTAAATCCCATAGCTTTCTGTTTGCTTTTTATTTGCAGTTTTTATAATAAATCTTTAGTATAAAAATTTTTTATACAACAGGGCCTGGCTTTTCTTGAACCATTTTCTTTCTGATAATGAACACTAATTGTGAATGCAAAACCCTGCATATCATTATGTGAAACATTTATGCATTCAGAGTGTCTACTTGGTGGTTTTCTTCTTAAGAAGCTAAACAATTCATTAAACAAGCAGCTCCTGCATGGGTAGATCAGAACAAGCATAAGCTGCCTTCTGTAGAATTCTATTGTGAGGCTGTACCCATTTGTGTTTGCTTTGAAGCCATAAAAATGAAACCCTTATGCTCATATTAAAAGCATAAGAAAGGCATCTATTATGTCAATAGATTTAAAACACGGCCTTAGACACAGTGAGAACCACTCCAAAATGGCACTCTTATAATAGCAAAGGTTAAGAAGTACATTCCCAGGGAAAACCTTCAAAGGCCTACATATCATTATATCCCAAAACAGATGGCACCGCAGTGTTTGGAACTATAGTTTCTGGACACCTACAATCTCAAATAAATCCTTTCTAATCGCACTCTTTTGTCTAGATTTTGTACTTTGATGATAACTGCAGGTGCCTTTCTCCGTTCTTCATAGAATGACACACAATGATATGGTGAAGATTCATGTACATATATGGACACAACTCTTAATACAACTCTTATGTAATGTACAAGTATTTTCCTAGCAACAAATTTATACCTTAAAGAAATCTGTGATTCTTAGATTCTAATCTACCACAAAACTCCAGTAGTCTGAATTTTACAGGAAAAAATGATGAAAACATCTCCCTGTCATATACTGTAGGAAGTATAAATTGATAAAAACCACTTTGCAAAATAATGTGGAATTATCTAGTATCTATGTGTATACTCTGGAGAAACTCTGAAACACAGGAGATGGAAACAAGAATATTCACAGCAGCATTGTTTATAATAGTGAAAAACTGCAAACAACCTAAAAGTTCATCAACAGGAAAATGGATCTATGAACTGTGATATATTCAATGAAATACTGCACAGCAATAAAAATGAATGAATTGCTGCTACATACACAAATATAGATGAGTCTTAAACCATGCTGAGCAAAATGGATAAGTCACAGACAACTATATACAATATATTTCCTTTATATAGGGCAAAAGCATGCAAAATTGAACGACGTGTTTTTGTTACTTAGGTTCGATATTTTTTAATTATCTAAAATTCTGCTGAGAAAAATTAAATCATACTAGTGTGACGAATAAATTGAAGCAAAAACCTTCTTTAGTATTTGCTACAAATCCCATATACTGAATACCTTTTGGATTTAAATTTAGTCTACTACAACAAAGTTGCCTACAGACATTTGATAATTTCTAATGGCTCTTCATAGGTTAAGAAAACTTAAAATATCATATACTTTGGTATTTAAGGAAACTATGCAAATTCTAACCTATAAAAACATTTAAATAGTATCATAATTTAACCCAAATAGTTTTACTTAATAGTTTACCTGAAACTTCACAAGGCTTGTGAGACTGCAGAAAATAGTTCCTCTTTAATTCCTGTCTGTATATAAGATGTGGCTTGTTATGATCATCTTCATGTTCACTCCCATCTGCCTTCATTATGGGTTCTAAGAAATATTCACCATCATGTGCTTTAAATGTTCCCATCTGAAAATAAACAAAATAAAAATTAACTTTTTCTTCATCATGAAGAAGAGAAAGTACCCTGTGCCACAGGTTAAAATGAGTACACAGAAGCAAGACAGCCAGGAGTCTGTTCACCAAACGGCATCAACTGAACACAGTTTCCTTTCCATGGTTCACTTTTCTCTCTCCACTCTTATGTATAAAGTCATGAACACTGGATAGTATTCCAATAGGCAGAGTCGAGATGATAGGCACTTCAGGTATAAAGAATGGCATAAGCAACAGCACCAAAATGGCAAAAAGTCTAGCACATTCTAGAAATAAGAAAGCCTGTTTGGCTTGATCCTCGTAAGGTAGCAGTATGAGATGAGACGTAAAAGATAGGCTGCGGTCGGAAAAGAGAGATCTTGAATGTGATGCTAACAATTGAGAATTTATTTGTAAGCAATTGGAGAGCCATTGAAGAGTTTTCACAAAGACTTGTCTTCTGATTCCAGAATCCCATATCCAACTTGCTATTCAGTGTCTCCACTTAGATAACTAGTAGCATTTGCAACCTTAACATCTCCAAAGCCAAACTCTTGATTTCCGGTCCAAACCTGCTGTTTCCAGAACGCTCTCTATTTCAGTAAATGGCAACAGTATTATCCAGATTGCTCAGGCCAAATATCCTTAGAGAGAAATCATCGCTGGCTCTTTCTCTCACATTCCATATTCAATCCATCTTCAAATCCCGATGGCTCAACCTTCAAGGTATAACCAAAATCCAACCACTTCTCCCAAATTTTACCACTGTATCCATGATATAGCCTAACATTGTCTCCTTCCTGAACTAAATCAATAGCCCTCTATAGTCTCGTCTCTACAGAGGAATCACAGTAATTTTTCTTAAGTCTAGATCAGGTCACTCTCAAAAAAAAACAAAAACAAAAAAAACTAACGACTATTCATGTCACTCAGTAAAATCCAAAGTCCTCACAATGGTCTACAATGGCCTGTGTCATCTGCTCACCCATTTCCACCACCCAGTCCCTACAAGCACACAGACTAGCAACAGTTCTGACTTCATCTTCTCCCAGTTTGGCTCATTCTAGAGCCCCAGCCCTGGTGTCTTTGCTACTCCTCAGACACAAGTATACTCTTACCTCAGAACCTTTGTACTTACTAAACCTTCTGTCTCCAGCACTTCTCCCTGATAGCTCCCTCTATGACTTGTTTCACATCTCTGCTCGACATTCATCACCCTACATAAAATGGCACCTAGCCTCCTCTTTCTATCTCCTTTATCCAGTCTCATTTTTCTTCATAGCACTTATCACTACTTGATGTATTTTTATGCTTGTTACTTGCCTGATACTATCCACTAAAATAGAAGTTCCATGAGAGTAGAGCTTCTCCTGTACTCTTGTCTGCATGCCTCTCATGCCTGCCACATACTAGATGTTAGATAACATATTAAATGAACAAATAAGACTGTAAGGTATTAAATTTAATCTCGTCACATTGTGTGTTATGGATGGTAGCAAAAAAAAGAAAAAACACTAGCAGTTATAAGATAGAGGCTATGACCCAGGAAAAAGGTAAGAAAACCTGAATTATGGTGACAGTGATGCTATGGCAGTTGGAACACAAAGGTTACAAGATGCCAATTCCTGAGGAAGGCAGAAAAACAGACAGCGAGAGGGGGAATTTATGATAGAGATCATTTTCTAGGAAAATATAATTTACCAAAAGGACTCCAGAAATTTTAAAAATCCAAACAGATCCCTTTTCTACCAAACAATAGAAAAAGATATCCGAGTTACATCACAAAACTCCTGGCCTTGACGATTTCATAGGGGAATTCCACGAAACCTTGAAAGAGCAGATAATTCCACTGTTATTTGAACTGTTCCAAAATATAAAAAATAAAACATCCAAGTTATTCTTATGAAGCTAGTGTGAACTCATAGCACACATTTGATAAAGATGGCATGAAAACAAAAAAAACAACAAATATAGGATAAGCTCATATACGAATATCAAGATAAAAGTCCTAAGTTGTATTAGCAAACAAAATTCAGCAACAAGTGAAAAGAATAATACATGGCGAGACGGAATTTATCATAATAATGTAAGTATAGCTCAATACTGGGAATCTATTAATATAACTCATTACAATCACTTATACAAATAGAAAAAGAATCACATGGTTTCTGAAAAAACTTCAATCAACATCCTTGATTTTAAAAATATCAATAAAATATAAACAGATGGATGCTTCTTTAACACACAAACTATATCACAGCCCAAAGACAGTATCATGCATAACAAAGATACATGTGAGGCATTCCCACTTAGGTCAGGAATACAAGGATGCCCAGTATTACTTGCACTAGACAATAGAATTAGATAACTTAGAAATACAAAAAATTGGAAAGGAAAAATTAAAATGTCATCCTCATAGATGATATCAGTATAGACCTTAAAAAATAAAAATTAGGGGCTGCCCCAACAGCATAGTGCTTAAGTTTGCGTGCTCCGCTTCCGCAGCCCGGGGTTCACAGGTTCACATCCTGGCCACGGACCTATGCACCGCTTATCAAGCCATGCTGTGGCAGGCATCCCACATATAAAAAGCAGAGGAGGATGAGAATGGATGTTAGCCCAGGGCCAATCCTCCTCTGCAAAAAAAGAGGAGGATTGGCAACAGATGTTAGTTCAGGGCTCATCTTCCACACACACACAAAAGTTAACTGAAAAACTACTATAAACATTAAGTGAACTCAGTGAGATAAAATATACAGGCTGCAACAATTTTCACAAAAATAAAAACAATTAGAAGGTATTATGGAACAATCCCAATTACAAATAAAGATTAAATGCCCAGGAATAAAAACAAATAAGAAACTTCTAAGATCTCTGTAAAATGTTACGGCACTACTAGAGAACTACAAAAGAAAACAAATGGAACCACCTGCCATGTTCTTGAATAGTAAGATTCCCCAAATGAATCTAGAATATAAGACCCCAATTTTAAAAAATATCAGATTTTTAATTTTTTTTTATTTTTTGTGAGGAAGATGAGCCTTGAGCTAACATCTGTTGCCAATCCTCCTCTTTTTGCTGAGGAAGATGGGCACTGGGCTAACATCTGTGCCCATCTTTCTCTACTTTATATGTGGGACGCCACCACAGCATGGCTTGATAAGTGGTGCGTAGATCTACGCCCGGGATCCAAACCTGCAAACAATGGCCCACCGAAGCAGAGCGTGTGGACTTAACCACTGTGCCACCGGGCTGGCCCCTCCAACAGATTTTTTAATATGCAAACTGCTTCTAAAGTTCATATGAAAAAAATAAATTAAAATAGCCAAGATAATCATAAGAAAACAATGAGGTGGGACTAGTACTACAAGATATTAAAATATTATAAAGCCACATTAAATACTCCAGTGTTGGCAACTGAAGAGAATAATAGACCAATGAGCTGAATAAGACGACAAGCAACAAATCCTCAATCATACAGGACTTAGTATTATTGTATACAGACAGCATCTAAAACCAATGAGGAAAGAGAGTATTTAATTAATAGTATTTTGTAACAAGGGGGCAGACATCTAGAAAAAATAATTTGGAATTTATCCTGTGGGATGTATCCAAAGGATCAATGATGTAAACTTTTGAAATAAAACTACAACAGCACAAGAAGATAACATGAGAGAATTCCTTTATAACTTGGGAGTAGGCAGGGCGTTCTAACCATGACTCAAAACCCATTAAAAAATGTTAAATTTCACTCGATAAGAATAAAAATTAATACTAAACCTAGTAACCACTTTGACCTAAGAGCCTGGCAAAAATCTAAAAGTTTTATAACATACTTCAAAGGTCTGTCTGGAAAAACAGGCACTCTCCACACCTTGTTGTTGAAAATGTAAAGTAGTACAATCATAATGCAAAGCAATTTGGCAATATCTATTACAATTACAAATGTATTTGCCCTTTGATGCAGTAACTCCCCTTCTGAGAGTTTATCCTACAGATGCTGTACATTTGCACACATGTGAAATAACATTTATGAAGTTATTAACTATAGCATTGTTTTTAATAGCAAAATATTGGAACCAATTCAAAAGTCCATTGATAGGATCTATTTACATAAACTATGGTACAGCCGTACAATGGAAAATTTTGTGGCTATAGATGAAAAGAGAATAAACATTCTATGTAGTGATGTGGAAAGACCTCCAATACAATTATTAAACCAAAATATAAAACTGTGAAACAGGATGTAGAGTTCACTACCATTTGTGTAATAAAGGAAGAAAAACAAAAACTAAGCATTTCTATTTGCCTGGTTGCTATTAAAGAAACTCTAGAAGGAATTGTTAGAAACAGTACAGGTGGAGGTGGCAGAAACTAGGTGGATTCAGGATGGACTAGATATAGCATCCTTCTTACCTCAGGTACTTCAAATATAGGCTGTTCCTCTGCCTAAAATATTCTCCCAATTCCCACCCTTCACCTCATACCCCTGCCTCATCGCTCTCTGTCTGCATCCATCTCATCCTTCCAGTCTCAGCTTAAATACCAACTACCAAGAAAGGTTTTCCTTGACCAGCTATCTAGGTAACCACATCCCTACCCCTACTCCTGAAAATATATTACTGTTTGATTCCTTGAGTATTTATCATACATTGTATTTATATATTTACTATTTATAATTATTCTCCCCCATTAGACAGGAGACTTCATATAGGCAGAGACCTAGCTCTGAATTTCCACTGCCTAATATAGTACCTGACACATAGTAGGCACAGTAGACAGTAAATATTTGTTGACCCATGAAAGCTATTATTTCCCACTCTTTGTAAACTCAGCTAACATTGAGCAGAAGTAGGACATAAATTTGGACATAGAGGCTGGAGCTAGAAGATGGAGACTCCAGCACGCAGAGATGTTTTAACCAGAAGAGTCCCTAACTCTTGGGTGAGAATAAAAATTACACCCTTATCATTAACCTCTAACTGAAACTTAGC